CTTTTCCAAAATCAGGGCAGAGGTGTGTGTGCATTCTATTGTGCAACACAAGAATGAGTTTAACCTAACAAGCTGACGGATGGAAATATAGAAAAAGCCATGCAGCTTGTTAAAATTGATGTTGTTAGAACAGGTTAGGGGAGGTCCTCCAGAAAGCAAAACAACTAATGCAGGATGGAGTAAAAATACTCAATGGATTCCTGTTACCCTAGACTTTTACAGGATTATTAAAAGAAAACCTGCATGACAAGTCCTACAATGGTTTAAATAAAGTGACAATAATATGAAAGAAATTCTTTAAAATTGTTTACTCACCATTTTCTACCTTAGATTTCGGATGAGGTCCACTGAAGGCCAGAAACTTTCCTGGGACGATCCAGTTCAGGTCTCCATTCTCCACACGCTGCAGACAGAAAAACAAAGCAGCTATAAACGATCAAGGCAGGGATGTAGAACAGCAACAGGCAGTGAATTTTTTTAAAGATTTTAATTCTGATAATTTTTTTAACTGTGTTTCCTTGAATTAAAACCTGAACAGTGATAGTACTCTGGGCATCCTGAAGAGGGCACTACAGTCTAATTTACCAACCACTGTTTCACACCTTTAGACCTTATGCTGCAGAAGGGAAACAGTGAAAATGTTGCTTTAACCAGTTTTGGACCGACCCACTAAAAAACACAGTCTGTCTTTCATGATGAATCACTAAACGCCCTGAAGTTGTGACCGGTTGGTACTGTTGTCTATAACCCTGCTGGTACCACTTTTACCTCATAGTGTTCATATTCTTCCACGTCGAATGTTTCAAAGTCAAAGAAGCCATGCTGCAAAGCCTGAAAGACACAATAAAACAGATTTCTTTTTAAAGTTTCAAGAAAAAAAACATTAATTATATTATATATTAGAGAGCAGGGGCCTTCGATCACCTCCTCAGCCTGGGATGAGATTTATTCAATTTAATATGCTTTATTATGAGATAATTTGCAGCTGACCGAGCCAGCAAAACTAATGCAGCCTGTATGGATCAATATGGGGGATAGAAAAAAATCATGTTTACAAAGTTAAATATTTTCCAGAATTTTTATTAGAAAAGCAGAAAAAAACATGACCAGAAGAAAAAAAAAAAATGTAAACATGTACACTTCAAGGTCTTTATCTGATTGAACTATACCACCTAGGAACATACAGATATGCTCTGATACTAAAATAACTGTTTCTAGAGTTATTACTAATCGTAATAAACTATTAGTGTAGTTGCAGCACTAATGAACTTAACTTTGTTCATCTATCGATTAATCCATTGAAAATCAGCTAGCAAAATGTTTATTAAAGCAGATTTTATACAGAATTGAAACCATGTAAGGGGTAAACTCAGCCACTTGAGGAGTTCTGGATATAGCATACTGAGGGAGAAAAAAAGGTTTTCCATCTTGAATGCAAAATGTCTTTATATTATTTTCCCAATTTTGGAATAATTACTAGTCTAAATAGGTTGCTCTTATAGCCAACAATCCAATTTAAACTCTGTATACCTCAGTTAAAGATAAATTGATAATAAATTTGTTGATTAATCACCATTAATCCTAGTTTGCCTACAAATACTACAGCCCCGTAAACAATGGTTATTTACCATAAAGCCAAGGAAGGAGAAAAAGAAACAGGATTAGCTGTAGGAGCAGCAGCATGGAAGTTTAATCACAGTATGACTTTAAGAAGCCATGATATTGAAGAACTACATCAGCGATGTTGCAGTATTTTCAAGTGAACAAAGATGAGAGATGAAGCAGCCACCACTTATTTAAAGGGAATCCTCTGGTTAGCTTAGCATCCAAACTGGTCTGTTAGCAGAGCTCTGCTGCCCAAAACTTCTGAAAGCACAACTCAAATCAGGCTTATTTTTGATTATGAAAGACTGCAAGTCATGTTCAAAGACATTAGGAGGATCTAAAAAGTAACACTTGCATCGCAACTGCACCATGTGGACCAATACTTGGCATCAGCGGGTTTAAAAAAAAAAAAAAAAAAAAGTAATACTTGTGCTCATATTGGGCAGGAACAGTGCATCCCTGATGAAACCCATCCTCTGAGACTGCACAATATATACAAATATACTGCCATTAAAATCAAATAGAAAAATACACTATTGTCCTTTAGTGGAAATATTTAGGTGGTGCTGCAGCAATGACAGTCTGTACAGTAAGGAACAATTCCCAAAGGAAATAGCAAAAGAAAGGAAACCTCTCTTTATAGTTCCACAGAGGGGGAATCTTTCCTCTACATTGAACCATCCCTTAGGGGGTAGTTGGTCGCTAGTAACCCTCCACATATTAAAGATTCAAGAAATGTGCAAATAAATATTCAAACAAAAAAAACAACATGTATATTTGTGCATTTAAAAACAGACTATTTATGAGAAACAGAACAATTGCAAACAACAGCAGGAATGCCATGACTCCTGGTTAAAAAGACTAACATCTAAGAGGAAATCTGTTTAATAATAATAATTTAACTTTATTGATCTCACATTGGAGAAATTTACCTCTGCATCTAACCCATCCCCTTGGGGAGCAGTGGGCTGCCACTGTGCAGCGCCCGGGTAGCAGTGTGGGGTTAAGGGTCTTGCTCAGGACCTAGAGTGGAGACTGTGGGGATCAAACTTGCTACTTTCAACCTTCTCAGAGCACAAGCGCACTGCTCTAACCACTAGTCCAACACTCCCCCATTGGGGACCAATAGCATTTTACATGCCAGTATGTCATAAAGGGACTTTATAAAGGTCACAGGCTCTATGAAGCACAGAGAATAAATAGTATTGTAGCTACCCTTTGTAATATGGTTATATTTATTGCCTAATTTCAATTTCCCCCGAGTGATAGGGAGGGGGTCCAAGAGCACAAAGGTGCTGTGAAAACAGTCCTAAAGCAAATAGATCAGTTGAAACACGATTGCATCTGTTAGTTCACCTGGATTTCTGTTTGATTTCTACATTTGATGAAAAATAACGGTAACGATATACAGTCATGCAGATGGACAGAAAGAGATAAAAAAACAAACTGGTGAAACAGAACTGGTGTTACTCCTTCAGAACAATGCCCAGATACAGTCGTGGTACTCGTAGCTCCATGTAAACACACTCGGTGGTGGATTATTTACACTTCTGTCAGATTAGCGTCCAGACAAACACTAAGAGCTGCTGCCCTCTGATTGGCCGCGGCAGCTCTCAGATAGTTCAGCAGCTCCTTGTCCGGCTCAGCACCCTGAGCTGTTATGTAACAGTAAGCTGCTGAGAGATTTCTGGTCGGCCTCCTGCTTGTTTTGGAGTTGCAAACATCCAGGCCTGTTCCTGTTTCAACCTCAGAGCCAGGGGGAACTTGCTCCACATTAACTCTTCAAGGATGCAGGGAATTTTGGAGCTGTTCTCGGACTATCCTTCCTATAGCTCTGCAACTAAATTCTTATTAATGTTCAGCAAAAGTATCAGAACTACAATTTCCTGATATCCTAAAGCATTAACCATAAAGATAGGTTTTAAATTGAGAGCTGTCAACTGTTCATCTATTGAAGTCATGTTTAAAATGTTGAGTCATCAGAGGCAGAGGAAAAAACAAACGCAATGCAAATGTGGAAAAATCCAGAATAAAAACCTCAGGACTGTTGTTGAGGTGAACAGCATTAGATGAATCTACCTGAGCCTCTAAAAGTAGATATCCATGTTNATTTCTAATCCAGCCCTGATTGACCAGTTCATTTCATGACAGAAATGTAGGTTTAAAAAACTTCCATCAGGAACGCATAAAAACTAGTGTTGTGCCGATGCCATTTTTTTGGCCCCGATACCGATACCCGATTCCTGGCTGTGCAGTATCGGCCGATACCGATACCATAATTATGTAAAATAATTGCCACCATGGCTTTGTCGAGCTGCTGCCTACCTTTGTGAAACAGGAAAAAATCTAATACAAAGTGAATCCAGTAGAACTTTTCATTGCCTACCAGGAGTGGGTGACAATAGTTGAATAAACTTATGGCTCTCAAAATGGTATCGGTGCCCTATTTGTTGGTACTCGCCGATACCGATACCACCATTTTAGCGCTGGATCGGGGCCCCGTCCGATACTGGTATCGGTGCAACACTAATAAAAACCATAAACATTCCAAGTTTTTGTGAGACATTTTCATGTGGTCCACTTGCAGGTGCAGCAGAATGTGGGCTTTCGCAGAAGCAGATCCCCCAAACTACACCAGTGAACATCCAGGAAACGGACATTGAGACAGTGGACCGAGGTGTTCACCTGAATAACAAACTGGATTGGGCTCACAATGCTGAGGCTCTGTATAAGAAAGGTCAGAGCAGACTCGTCCTAACGAGGTCTTTTGGAGTGCAGGGGGCGCTCCTAAAGACCTTCTATGTCTGTGATGTGGCATCAGCCATCTTCTTTGGATGGATAAACTGATCAGGAAGGCCAGCTCTGATTGGATGCCCTCTTGACTCAGTGCAGAAGGTGGGTAATGTTTCCCACCCCATGCGTGAAGCTGTTGCAGAGCTGGAGAGCTCCTTCAGTGACAGACTGCTGCACCCTAAATGCACCAGGGAGCGTTATCGCAGATCCATCCTCCCAGCAGCTCTAAGACTTATAACCATCACTGTTCCTATTAACCTCAATAAGTTGTTACATTCATGCTGATTTTGCACAGTTTCTATCTTAGTCAGGTAAATAACATGCTGTTTTCCTTTTGCACATCTCTGATGTTTCTGCTATTTTTCAAATATCCATTATTGTAAAAACGTCCATAGCTGTATATTGTTATTTATTCTCCAGGTGCATAGTTTTATATCGTTAAAACACTTTACAGTACAGTATTTTATTGTTTATCTTTCAACTCTTCACTATTATTTTATTCTTATACATTTTCCTAAGGTCCACATTTGTTTGATCATTTTTCTCTGTAATCTTTTTGCTGCTGTAAACACCAGAATTTCCCCATTGTGGGACAACGTAGGTATTTTCTATTCTATTCTAAAAGTTTAGTTGAGAAAAGCCTGTAACCTAAACATGCTTGGAGATAAAACTGATATTTTTTATCTGATCAAAAGAAAAAAAATTCTAATGCTAAATGCTCTCATTATTCATCAAACAGAGGATTTCGAAGCTTAGATAGGAGCTGCTTTTCTCTTTGAATGTCAAGTTCTCAGAGTTTAGAAAGAGATTCTGGTCTTTTGATAAATGTTGTTCTTATAAACTAATTTCCCATTCAGACATTGTAAAACTCGTCTTCTTACAAACAAATCAGCAAGATTTCTAAAGCAGGGTTTGAGGCAGCTGATGATCTCACCTTCCTGATTCCCTGCAGACAGTCCAGCACGGTGAGGTTGAAGGTGCAATTCCCAAAGGAAGCATCTCTGCAGAGGCAGACAGCAGAAAGCAGGTTAAGACTAACGCATAAAAATACAGATGAAGCTTTATGTGTCATTGAAACATCACCAAAATTCTTTTAAGAAAATAAAAACATGTAGGTGGTGCTTTTTATCCGCTTCAACTTGTCAGTCTGGTAGAAGGAAGGAATATTTGGAGAACTTGAATAATCTGTTGAATCCTACAGTTCCTGTCCAACCTCTCAATGTTGAATTTACGAACTCAGACAGCAGCTCTAAAATCTTCCAATGTTTAGCGCAGCACTGTTACAGAGCTGTAGGAAACTACTTCATGCAAAATTATCTTATGACGCAGAAAAGGTGTAAAAACAACTCACTTGACCGAAGTGTGAATACTGATAATAGTTTGTGCAGCCCATCATGCTACACTGATAATGAAACCGTTTTTGTCCTTTATTTTAGGAAACCTCACAGTTTTTTTTCCTACCAGATCAACTTAGTTTTGTTTATTTAATCTGCTATGCTAATTTCTAGCAACATTTAAAGGATGAAATTACAGACAAGATGAGGAGAAACATGCTGGAACTCTTCATTAGGAAAGGAAAACATGGATGAACCAGCACTACCAGTGATGGAGCAGCAGCAGAATCTTTAGTCACTGGAATAAACCATTTGCAACTGAACTTTACAAAATAAAATAGAACCAGGATTCATCAGGGACTAAAAGCATCAGTATAAAACCTGATGGGACTCGGCTCATGCAACCAACAGTCAAACACTCTGATGCACATGATGAAGCGATTGATGCTGAGGGAGACATGCCTTCTTTAAATGTGCTTTACAAAATACAGAAAGATGAATCAGTCTGCAGCATAAACCAACTAAAAACCCCTTAAAGTACCAAGCCAGCATTTCAGCAGCTCTTGGTTCTAACACCTTATATTATAAAAAAAATCTCCCCAAATTTTGCCAACAAACTTCCAAATCTGAGAATGTCTCAAAGACGAACCCTGGTTTCTTTTAATGTCGCTTTGCTTCACCCACTGTCAGAAATCAGGATGCAGACCTCCACATCAGGAATGACTGGATCAGATCTTCAACCTCCTGGATCTCTGCCTGTCCACATGTTATTTTCAGTATCATCAGTTTCTACAGACAGAAGCGGGGCCCCGCTGTGGGATCTTTAATGCTCTGCAGTGGGTATAGCCTGTCTGCATCATGTTTTTATACATCAGCGCTCTGCAAAGAGCTCAGTGCTCCTCATGAGGCCGACAGAAGAACAAAGTCCTCCTCCTTTCAGTGGCGCTCTGATGTTACATAATTACTGCGTGTTGACAACAACAAAAAGCCCTTTATCTCTGATACACACAAACACACATCTGCGTTTTATAGACTGAGGACCATGCTTCGACTTTTATTCATTTTCTACCCTTTCTATGGCCCAACTCAACCTATGTTACATCTTGGTCCTAAACCTGACCATGAGTATCAGAAAAACTCCAGTTTACATCAAAGTCCTCCCCAGTATAAATGTGTCCTCACTCAGCTAGAAGTTAAAGTACAAACACAACTTCCCACAACACACAAAAACACACCTCTCAGACAGACTCAGCTTCTCTGTTTGGGTCAGCAGAAGCTTCAAACAAATAAAACTTCTGCAGTTTTCAAAAGAACCAGATTTCTCACATTAGAATCATATTCTTAAGTAACAGAATAAAACGTCTAGCCAGAGAAAACCGGCAGCAGGAGAACAGCTTTAATTGTGGTAAATCCAAACAGGAGCAGTTGTGCATGATAAATACATGGGTAGAGTTTCCTCTGCTTATCATCATCATCATCATCATAAGTTTCCTTCCAGTGGGTTAAGTCAGACGGTTGACGTTATTTCAGTCTGTGGTTTGAGCTTAAAGGCCAAACCTCCACATTCGGACATTTCCTTCTTCATCGCTGCCAAACTCTTAATATTTGTCTCTACTGCTGCCAGCTCAGGGTTAGTCATTAAAGCTCACAGCAGCAAAAGTTTACACTGAACTCTGCGCACAGTCTAAAGCTTTCTGACTGGAAGCTGCTGGATCAGGTTAGCGGTGATGTAGTCAAGAGGATGACATTATGTCTCCATGTTTAAAAATAAATGATAAATGCAGCCCTGCAGATTAAACCATGACCGGTTCATTTCACACAACCCTGACCTCATATTAAATCCCTATTAAAGGAACAAAACCATAACTGCTATTAAAGGTTACCATTAGAATAGAGCTGCACAGCATATTTAATTTTAATATGATTGAGTGTTTTATCACAATAACACAATACTAAAAAGGACAAATAGAAAAACACTATGATGATCCTTCTCTGTATGAGATTTGGCATATCAAGTCAATATAATATACATCAAGGTTTGAAGGAGGAAATAAATAAATTAAAAACAAAGCATTAACTGGATAAATATCACAGACCATTGCAGAGTGTGAATGTATAACCACTTAAACATAACATCCAAACCACTGATGTTTACAGCTCATTAAGGAGACATGATTGTTTGCTTTTTTTTAGTTATTTTATAAATGTACTCATTGCAGCAGTGTAGGTACCATATAATGATCGCAAGCAGGTATGAGTAACCATCATGGATTGGATGAAAAATAATGAGAAAATAACATTTATAAAAAGGTTAGAACTGACCTGAAGGGCAGGTATGAGGCGTTGGATCCAGATATCAGGGCTCTGTAGGCTTCCTCTGGGGTTTTCTTCAGGTAAATTACCTGAAAAAAAAAAGGGAAAGATAATTAGATTTAGACAAACTTTATGGTCATTTTGAACACACAGATTGTAAACAAAGCAAAATTTCGTTTTGTACAGCTCTCAAGACATTTCCATTTCTTAAGGTGCAGCGTGGGGGATTTTGCCAAAAATCAAAGTTTAATTTGCTATGTTATTTTAAAGTCCCTCTGCACTAATTCTGAGCATATACATGTTTGGCTCCATGACATTGAATGTTTTCTAGTCCAGAATCCATTGTCACGGGCCTTAATAGCTCTTATGCATAGATCTGTGTGCTAACTGCAGCACTAAAGGGCTGGAGTGAGAAAGTGTCTTCTTATTAAATGTAACAAGACCAAAAACCGAGAGCCTCTGCAATTTGGAAAGTATTACATTTTTTTAAACAAAGCGTCAAGCCCTAATCTAAACACTGAGTTTAGTGGTGGCTTATCAGATAGGTTTACTGGAAAAAAAATTCAAAAAAAGTAATGAGTAAGGAGGAAGTTTAAGTTCTGAGGACAAAAACTTAAATCCCTTAATAAGGGAAAACCCGAGTGAAAATAAAAGTATCTATGTTTCAAACTTCTGTGGAAATTTCATCTCTTAGATCATAAAAAACTCGTATTGTGGTGGATCTGACTGGTCTGATTGTGTCGGAGTCTGGAGCTGCTCCGGGGACACAATCACCTTTTGTTTCAGAGGCTGAACTGACATCAAATATTCAACGTGCAAAACACAGCAGGAGAGAGTCTGTGTCCGCCGGTTCCACCTACAAGGATCTGCTTATACCACATGTCCAGAAAGCATCCAAAACTCTGCAGGTATTAGGAGTTTCAAGGAAATTAGGAGTGTAGAATAAATAGTCTAATAAAGCAGAATCAGCTCCTTGAACATCCATTAAAACAGAAAGTTAAATGGTTCCTCTAAGATGTCAAAACATTGAACTTCTGACTAATGAAGTCTTTTCTTCTACTGCTGAGAGGAACTTTGGATTTTCCCAGAAACATGGTCAAAAGTTTCCAAACAAGCAGTGGAATAAATTCCTGTTGAGACAGAAAGAAACCTAGTTTTCGAACATTTTTGCTTCAGTGCATCTATTTCTTAGTTTTCTCTACGGTATAACAGAAGCTATAAAATAAATGTGATCCATTTCACAGGTCTGTCTGAGAAATGCCTACAGCAAAGATTCATTGGTCAAAGTGCTGCGAAATCTTTTCCAGGATTTACGTAGTTCACTTTGATAGATTGGGTTTAATGATTTGGGTCTAATTCTGAGCTGTTCTTTCTTTGGTGGTTATAAAATGTTGATCTTCCTTTACAGCCCACCTTTTATTTAAGGATAGACCTCAAGTTTCCAATGAGATCAAGGGATCTGTTCCTTAAACCACTTATTTTATCACGTTGCTTTGTGACCTGATGATGCATCATGTAGGAAAAAGTCCCACCTTTCCTGGAATATCAGGGAAAGTTACTTCTGAAAGATGTTTTGGTCCTGATCTTTATTCCTGTCACTGTTTTGACAAAACCCAACACAAGAAGGGTGAACTTGTAGTCCTGCTCAACAAATCCTTCTGTGTAAGGTCCTTTCTTCAGGTGCTCCAGACAACCTCAGAGGACTTCATTAGGGGAAAAAAACACCTCTGCATGCAGAAAGTCAGTCTGTCCTTTCTGTTTTTCCTGGAGACAGAGGCTGCCTTGCAACAATCTTGACAAAAAAAAAGCGTCCAAAATCCAGAAATACTCCCACCTTCCTGCTGCGTGTCCTGAGCACACGCTTGTTGTAAACGCAATCTTTTAATCTAAACCCCCCCTAATCCGGACATTTGCTGGACTTTCTTTGGCCCTGACACTTTCTTCACAACAGTTGAAATTCTCTTGATTAGGTGAACAGTTGATCTGGGTGCCATCATAATAGTAGCCTCTGTAGCCCTTATATGATGACTGTGTGTGTTTGACTTGGCAGTACCCAAGAAAAAAAGATGTCCAACACCCAGAAGGGCAGAGTGGTACCAGCTGGCCAGTCCCAATTTACACCTCTGAGCTAAACGATAGATCACTGAAGTGATAGTGGAGACACTGAGCAATGTTGTAATACTGCTTACAATACATTTGCAGTTCATCAGATTGCTATTCAGATTAACTATTCATTAATTTAAATTGTCATATGTAAAAAACACAAAAAACCAAAACAAAACAAAGTTGTTAAATGTATATTACTATTTTTTTTTTGTTCTGAGTTTATAGTGAGTGTATCAAACAAGCCAACACTAGGATGGTAGCAAATCTTGAGAAATCAGTTCTAACTTGATGCTGTGGTGAAAAAAATGAAGCTAGGAAGGAAATCTTGCTCAGGGCCTTGATAAGAGAATGGAGCGGAGATTTAAAGATCAAAGCCACTAGTGCCACAAAATTTACTTAGTGCATAAGGGTGCATACAGTAGGAAAACATTGGTATGGT